TGCCTCAGCCTCCCAAGTAGCTGGGACTACAGGCACCAGCCACAAGCCCCAGCCATTTTTTGGTTGTAGCTGTCATTTTTTGGTTACCGCTGTTATTGTTGTTTGGCAGGCCCAGGCTGGATTCGAACCCACCAGCTCTGGTGTATGTGGCTGGTGCCTTAGCCACTTAAGCTACAGGCGCCGAGTTGATAATTTTGTTTATGCATCATCTTGTTCCAGAATGGATTTGGGATAGTTTAATAAGAGCATGTAAACTTTGGGAAATTGCCATTATAGGGGGTGGAGGGGACTGGGAACAAAACAAAAGGCCTGCAGTTGACGATGAACTTTGATGGACCCCTTGAGCTAAATATTTTAATAGCTTTCAAAAAGAAATTCACTAGGCTGGTCCTGGTGGCTCACACCTGTAATCCTAGCACCCTGGGAGGCTGAGGCTGGTGGATTGCCTGAGCTCAGGAGTTGGAGACCAGGCTGAGCTAGAGGGAGACCTAGCCTCTAAAAACAGCCAGGCGTTTTCATGGGTGCCTGCAGTCCCAGCTACTCAGGAGGATGAGGCAAGAGGATCTCTTGAGCCCAAGAGTTTGAGGTTGATGTGAGCAATAAGCCACAGCACTCTACCAATAGCAACTCTGTCTCACAAATAAAAAAGGCAATCCACTGTCTGAATACAATGTGAGTTTGTTATGAAGTTTTTGACTTTCTATCAAAAAATTCAGAAGCCAAGACCTGGAGAACATCCCTATAGGAACCCTTTAGACAACAATATGAAAATCCTGGCATCGGGAATGAAAAAAATGTCCAGATAGTGTATTACCAGATTTCTTTAACCTGATGAATTTAATACATGCAATCATTTTGTTGTAGCTTTAATTTGCATTTTTGTTCTTAAAACTAAAGCATCTTTTTTCTTGGATTAAGTGCTAAACTGAGACTCGAAAAACAAATAGAAGCCTGCCACAAGTATTGGGGATTGGTGGAGCATAGCGAATGAGAAGGGGAATGATGAGAACGAATGGAGAGACCATTCTGGAGAGCCAGGTTGTGACTTTGTTTGTATGCAAAGATAGTAAAGGGTTTTAAGCAGCTGAGTGATATGAACAGATTTGTATTTTAAACCTCTGCAGATACCCTTTGAGCCTGCAGAGATAAAATTGCCAAACAGGAAAATGGCCTGTGTGATTTTAAAGGAAGAAGAGATACTACCATAGTATTGTCAGCTAATTAAAACTAAAAGTATTCGGCCGACTTTAAAAATAGGCTTTGTTGGGTGGCACCTGTGGCTCAAGTGAGTAGGGCACCGGCCCCATATACCAAGGGTGGTAGGTTCAAACCCGGCCCTAGCCAAACTGCAACAA